TGACATTCTTGAAATGTAATTTGGTTAATGCCCGCCCCCTCCTTAAACTTTCAAGAATTTTCCATTGAAAATAGAATTAAATACAAATCTTGACCATGGCCTACATGGTGTGGATGGTCTTCATCTTTCATCACTGTCCCTCTTGCTCATTATCTTCCGGCCACATTACTTTTATTTAGTGGCCTGAACAGGACAATCTCTTCACCTCTTGGGTGGGGGGGTCACTGAACATACACTTCCCTCTGTTTCGAATGTTGTTCTATCCCATACTGAGATCCCAGCTCAGTGAACAGTGGTGCCTTTTCAACCTTTACGGTTCATGGTTCCTTAGCTCCTTATCTCAATTAGGTTAAATCTCAATCACTGTTTTCTTTTTAGCATTTACCATGATTTGTTCTTGTGATTTCCTTGTTTACCATTGTATCTAACACTAGCACAGTAATAGTACAAAAAAGGTATTCACAAAATGTTTGTTGAATAAATGAATTTTGTTTCCTTAAAATTGATTGAACCTGGGGTGGGGGAAGCTGGTGTAAGTGCAGGTACTTTGGAAACGCAGTTCTTCTGAAGGCTCTCACAGCCCTAGGGACTGATGCCAGATATCACTCCTGGTGGGTTGTTGTTTTTCTTTTAAGGCTCACCTTGAACTTTGGAGTCGCTTATGACCTACTATGTGATAACATCTTTGCCAAGTAGTTTGGACTTGGGGGCATCAAAGGTGCTTTATGAATGTGAATTATAAACACAAGTCATGGGGCCAAGAAGCTAATGTAAATGGGTTATATGTTAAATTCCAAGGAGTTTTAATTGTATTTTTATTTTAGGAAGGTAAATTATTTATAGTGTGTAATGATTTATTTTTAATCTAGATCTCAAAAATCAAGTGCCTATTAGGGGCTGATGAAAATGGAAAGGAATCACATATGAAGAAATTAGATGACCAATAAGCATCTCCACCATCCAGCAGTGGATTCAGAAATTAACCAGTATCTGCGTTCATCTTACCAGTTCACTTTTAGGTGCACATCACACTTAACTTCATTGCCTACCTTGTTGCTACTAGTTCAATCTAGTGATTGAGTATAAATAATGTAAATAGTATTTAAATCAGAAACATTTTAGTGTAGCACTTACTATTTGCAAGTCACTTTGCAATCCTATTTATTTCCAAAAATTCTAAGAGATGGCTGACCATTTCTCTTCCTTTTCTACAAATGGAAAAGCCACATTAGTGAGGGACTGAAATGATGTGTCCAAGGGCACTTGTAACACATATTAATATAAAATTTCATTTTGTCAAGTGATAAAAGTTGCCTCCAGCATCCATAGAGAGCCTGAATGTTTCATCAGCTCCTGGAGAGGGAGCGGCCGCCCTACTCCAACCTGCAGGAGCAGTGGGGCTGGACCGCTCAGCTTTCTCTCCAGAGCCTCAGCACCATCTGCCCTGAGGCCACCAGTTTCTGTCATGTATCATCAGGATAGAAATGTCCCAGACTGACACATCCAATTTATATCAGTCCCCAAAGCAGTCCCTGGCTCCCCTGTCATTCTCCAGTCTGACCCCACCCCCACACGCGGCTCTGTGCACCCCTTTGCCCTTTTTGTCCTTGAGCTTTCCCGACTCCCGCCCCTGTGACTTCAAACCACTCCCAGGGTCCTTCTCCCGTTCTTCCCTCCCTGAAACTGGCTCCTGCCCTGGGACACCACTTCCTTGGAAGCTCCCTCACATGTTCTCTGCACACTTTGTACTACCAAGCATTGCTCCACAATGCTCCAAGTCGAACAGTTCTCTTCTCTCCTGAAACCAATCCTCCAGCCTTGAATTTCGAACCATCAGGCTCCACTGGGTGCTCTTTCTCCATCTGCAGGCAGCTCCGGAGCCCCACCTCCCTCTCCCCAATCTCCCCCCGCCGCCCCCGCACTCTCTCCCTGCTCCCTCCTGACCACATTTCTCGAAGCTTCAGTTTGTGACTCAACAGAACTCTCTCCAAGTTGGCTCTGGTGGTAATTCTGGAGGGTCTAAATGTCCACATGGGCCACACTTCCGACACCCTGGCTTCCTGAGTCCGTGACCTCAACTTCTGCAGTCAACTTTTCCTCTATCCTAACTCGGCCATCAGCACTCCCAGCCCTCCCCTGGCCCCACCATTGCCAGTCCCTGCATGCCTCCACAATCTCAATGTCAAGGATCCCATTCTTCAGCCAACACCTGCTTTTCCAGCTAAACCTTGCTAGTCCTTAAATTCCCAAAACTCTTTGGACCCACTGGGACCTGGAACCAACCACCGACCAACTACCTTTCCCACCCAGTCTCTTCTCATCCCACCTCTCCGCTCTCCTAGCTGAAAACCAAACTCCGGGTTGAACCCAGCTCTCTGTTTTCTGCATCTGTGCCTATATAGTTGAATGTGACAGAAAGACACCAGGCTCACGGATCTCGCTCCAAACTCATTCCTTTCCCAAGTTTATTACTCCCTACCCTCGTAAGTGAAGATTTCACTATCCTTTCATCTCCCTGGAAGGCTCTGCCCCCATGTGTGCTCTCAGCTGCCAGCTGTCCCTCCCATTTCACTGAGAAAAGAGGGACAGCAGTAGCAACCACCCTGCATATTCAGCCATCCCCACTGCCACCAGGCTGAGCCGTCCCTACTCGTGTCTCAGGTGGAGCCTCTACTCAGCGGCTGTGAGCCAGGATGTTGTTCCCGACGGTCTCTCCTCTCCCCTGCATCACCAACCCCCTACTCTTCTACAGAGTCACTCCCATTGGCCCATCAACATGCCTCAGCTTTTCCTGTAAAAAAAGAAAAGGATCTTGATTCCACATTCCCCCACCCCAGCTGCCTCATTCTTGGCTTTCCTTTACAGCTGAATTCCTTAAAAAAGAAGTCACCAGTATTTGCTCTCTCCCATTCCTCTTCCTTTTCTGCACATGAACCCAATTCAGGCAGGCCTTCAGCCCCGCCATCCCCTGGTCAAGGCCACCAAGGACCTCCAAGTTTCGAATTCCAATGTTCATTTCTCACCCGGCGCCTGCTTGGTCTCATGGAGCACGGATGATCAGCCTTCCTTCCTAGAAATGCTTCCTGCCTTTGGCTTCCAGTGCACTCTCCTGGATTTCTTCCTACCTTACTCCAACCACACCTCGTATTTCATAATGCTTTTTACGTGAAATGAGCATTACAGAGGGTCATGTCAGAACTTCTGTACTCGCTTTATTCTCTATCTGGAAAGCTCCTTTTCCAGACGTCACCAGGATGCTTTCCTGCACTCCTTTCAGGTCCTCACTCACAAATCACCTGCTCAGTGAGGTTCTTCCTGACCACCTTATAGAAAATTCACCTCTTCTGCCTATTACCACTACCCCCTTTTTGGTTTTATTTTTCTCCATGGCCATAATAACCACCTAGCATAATGTATATTGAACATGTCTGTGTGTATATAGCATAACGGTTTTCCACCTTTTCACTCCTATATCCCGATAAACGAGAATGGCATATAGCACCTAAGGAGGTGCTCAGTGAGTATCTGCTGAATGAAAGGAAAGAAGGAAGGAAGGAAAAGTGTTTTTTTTTTTGGAAATAAAGATCAATATTACTGTGCAACCTGTTCCCATGTTGCACAACTAATCAGAGTAATATTGATTTTGATTATGGCTCGATTAAATTTCTAGGAGAATGCAAAGTGGCCTGACTTGTATGCAAATCTAAGATGATTATAGTTGGCTTCTTTCCCTACTAATCACCAATGACTCTAACACAAATAGGGAAATAATTTGCAAATATTGGTACAAGTTAGGAGAGAAGGCTCCATTATCTGAGTGGAAATGTCAGGGCAACAATCAGTAATTCTTACTTTAAGAAATCTCTCAGGCTTTCACAGGAAAATGGCTGGGAGATGCATGTGTTTTCCTAAATAGGTATGTTTGAAGGAGTCAGTTATTAACTCTTACCTGTAATGGAGGGTAACTGATTTTGCTTATATTTGAATAAACACTTATGCCTGCTGAATTCTGGAATCGGCAGTATGAAAACACAAAGGAGACATTCTGAAATCTGTTAAATCAAGGAAGTGGAAATAATTCTAGTTTTTTATCCTCCCCCAATTAGCTCCTTTCTGTTTTTAATCTAATATTGGACACAGGCGTCCAACTTTGCAACATACACATACCAAAGAAAAACACCCCCACCACAAACTCATCGACAAAACTCATCTCCCTTTGCACGTTCCCTGGTCAGATGTGACAAAGATGACCTTTGGGGGTAAAAACCAGTAAGAGAGGGTGAGGTAGGTCACGCCCCAAGTTTGGTGTGAGTATTTCAAGAATAACTTGACATCAAGATTTCACATAATACTATGGAAGCTGTAATTCTATACAAAGATTAAGAAATTTATTTGTACGCAGGCAAAGCTCACACGCATGTGTGTGTGTGTGTGTGTGTGTAATTCGGCACCCTGAATTATTTACTTAGCACATCCCTTTAAAATCTGACATGTCGCCGAGCACCACAGTACTGAAGTAATCTACTTTTAATGGGCCATCCTTTGTATGTATATACGTCACACATTTGTATCCTTAAAGAAAGCAGTTGCAGTGAGATACGGAGAAGGTGCACACCATGCAAAGGTCTGGTGAGAGGGGCTGGTGCCCTCACCCGCAGACATCACATCAGGGCCATCTGTGGTGCCTGGTCTCTTACCCATCATGTGTCCGGACACTAACTTGTTGGCTTTCCTGCCACCACGTTGTCCCTGCTTACCACCAGCATCCTGAGATGAAATGCTCCGGCAGATAGCAGATGTACCAATGAACAACCTCTCAGGTCTGATGGATAGAAGAGGAAAAGAGCGTCCTCACACATATCTGCAGCGTGGCTTTCTTCCCTGTTTTAGGGCACCAAGGGTCAGGAGACACACTCTGCCTCCCTGGAGAGAGCCCAAACTGTCTCATTAGTGTCTATCTTTCGTGACACGCTGGCATTGCCTTTGAGAGGCCCACTCACCTGCTCTTCTCCAAGAATCCTGAAGTGATGGAGCTCTTTAATCAAGGAGTTGGGGCAGCCAGCTGTTGGAGAACAGAATGAATCACAAACGCGTTATTCCCATTTGGTGCGGTAATGGGTTCTTACATGCACGTATGACTAGCAGCGCCCGGTATTGTTGGGGGGGACGCAGACCCCCACCTGCACAACACATTCTAAGCAACTACTCAAAGGCCACACCTTGGAGGGCAGGCACTACGGCTGCCGTCCGGTCCCCCACTGTGACACTGGGAAGGAGCAGGTGAGCGCAGCCAAGCCTTTTCTCCCTCCTGATGGTGACCCGGCCTTTGTGGGGCTTTAGGCCACCATGTTATTTCTCCCCAGCACGTCACTTGTCCCTCACAGAGAGCCAGGATTCTGTGGGGCTGGAGTGGGAGAGGTGGTGAGTATAGGTTCACTGTGCTTATTTACCACATCCTGTTTCCTCGCTCTGGGGGGGAGGGTGCTGCACACAGAGAACTAAGAAGGAAGACGGGGCAGCTGGATATCGCATCTTCACGGGATTTGGTTGTAGTTTAGAACCTTGCCTGGTTCTTCCAGGAGGCTCTGTCAAGGCTAGAAGGATCCTGTCTTTTGGTTTGGAAAGGGGTTCTTATGGAAAGGACCTGGGAAGAGAGCCAGGATAGTCGGGGTGCCCATGACCTTCCATTCTACCCGGTTGGTAAGAGCCTCTTTAGGCTTTCCCATTTTCTTCCTCCAGTTGTAAACAGAAATAAGTAAATAAATTATATGTATGCATGCCGGTACATGCTTAGTCATAATTTAATTATGTTCGATCCCTGTCCTTTTAACTGAAAAATTGTATGTATTATTTTGTAGTCATTTATAATATTAACTCTGGTAACAAAAATTGATATAAAAGCTCACTTCTTAGATACAATCTATGGATTACATAATCTGTTGAGGCTTCTACTAAGGAATTGGGTTGTATGCAAAATGCACCAAAGCAATCACTTGCTGTCGTTCATGTGACTCAGCCTTGTGATGTAAGAATAAAGTACCGAGGAGAGGACGTCTGTCTGGGGAGGGCAGGCTGAGGAAGGAGGGAGGTGTCATCTTCACGGAGGTGAAGGAGTTATCCTTTGCAAGAGAGATTAGATTTGTGTTTTATTCTAGAAGGTAGGATTAAAACTAAGAGGCAGGGGTGCCTGGGTGGCTCAGTCGGTTAAGCGTCTGCCTTCGGCTCAGGTCATGATCCCAGGGTCCTGGGATGGAGCCCCGCATGGGCTCCCTGCTCGGCGGGGAGCCTGCTTCTCCTTCTTTCTCTGCCTGCCACTCTGCCTACTTGTGTTCTCTCTCTCTGTTAAATGAATAAATAAAATCTTAAAAAAACCCCAAAAAACTAAGAGGCAAAAATGACATCAGTAGACTTCGGTTCAAAAGTAAGAAATTTCTAACTTAAAAATGGAATACATTGCCTGATGAGCTACTAACTGTAGGTTTTCAGACACAGGCTAAATGACTATTTCTGCAGGATACTGTAGAGATGAATTTGACAGGGTCTGTTCCAATTCAGAAATTCTGTGGTCATGTAAAAGGCTGAAACACGGTTTTGCTGTTTGATGTTATTATTGACATTGTCTTTGACACAATAACATTTCAGACCTTGCAAGAGTGGTTTACAAATGCTTACCAAAGTAGTACAAAAGAGTTTTAAAAATATAAACAAAATCTAAACAGGCAATGTCACCATCTGATAGTAGACCAAGAAAATAAATGAAAATCCTTAGATGAATATTTTGGTGGAAAACACAGTATGTTAATTGCCTCCGGCACGTCCAATGCTATAAAGAAGGGAAGCTAGATCCTTGACATTAGAACTGTGTTTGTCCAACTGGATGCCACGGACATGTGGTCTGAAGGTTCTTTTTGAGACGTTCATATCAGAATTGCTATTCTGATAATTATCTAAACAGTTAGGAGAAGTCATGCTGGATCATTCGGTTGGCCACAATTCAACTAAGAACTATGGTGGAAGTTCAGCCTCATCTTGGTGCTAGAATTTTAGATCATCTTGGGAAGAAGAAGAGGTTCTGTGAAACCCATAAGGAAAGAGCCAAGGCAGAATTCCAGGCGTGCATTTCCAATAAGCGGGGGGCCCGCGGACTGGCACCAAGTGTAGGAGGTTCACGTGGGAGAGGCACCATGGGTACAGCGATGTGGGCACGCGCAGTTCAGGGGAACCTGGCCAACCAGCCAGGGCCTTGGTTGCATCCCAGGCAACAATTTAGTTTCAGCAAAATGCCAACATCTGCGATATGAAATTCACAGAATTTGACTGGAATGCTTTTGGTTTTGTTCTTTTATTTATATTTAATGTACTGATTTTCATTTGGGCCTTCCAGTTGTATAAGCATAAAATGTTTATGTCTAAATTTATATCTAGATAGATTTAAGAGAGATTATTTTGCGAAATAGTTTTATTCAACCTTATTGATTTTAGAGGATTTTTAAAAAACGTTGTTCTTCACATCCCTCAAATTTGAGAAAAACTGATTTGACTTACTTTAATGCCAGGTAAAATAAGAACCAGAATTTAAAATTAGCCTGTTTTCAGGATTTGTATTCTAACATTCTCCTAAGATGTAACTTCAAGGATTGATGTCAATGAGAGTTCCAATGTAAACATCTTTCACAGAAGACTAGATAATTACCTGGCACACCTGGTAGGTGGAACAAAATATAATAAACAAGGACAGATATGGCATTAGTTAGAAGGGAAGACGTGCGAGGGGGTCAAGATATTTAAGAGACCACAGGAGGGGCACCTGTAACTGTGGTCGCCACAGGAACATCAGTGTGGGAAATGGACAGACGCAAACTTTGTGTGAAGGCGAGTTTCAAAATCACAAAACTAGAAACACAAGACACGCACGGAATTCAGTAGTGTGAGGAGGAGGGGGGGAGGCACCAGGAGGAAGAAAGAGCCTGGCATAGGAGGACTGCATGGACAGTGTTGTTAACGGTGGTGCTGCACTCTTGCTTTCTCCAAATTCCTCACACATAGCCTACACGCGCATGGCAATGGGTCATCTTCTGGAGCCACGGTTGTCTACTTGGACCAGTCGAATCCTCACGGTGCCCAGCATCCTCTGCCCTCAGGTCCCCGAGGAGAGATCTTTTCTCAAAATGACAGAGAAAAGGCTCCTATTAAAATGTGCCCGTGGTGGCAAGCCTGGGAGGCATACTCCGTTGAGTCTCCCACTCTTGGTTTCGGCTCAGGTCATGATGTCAGTGTTGTGGGATCGAGCCCCGTGACGGGCTCCCTGCTCAGTGTGAAGTCTCTCTCTCCCTCTCCCCCTGCCTCTCCTGCTCGTGTTCTCAGTCTGTCTCAAATAAATAAATAAATATCTAATGTCTCCAGCCATTTGCACTTGCCGCTCCCTCTCTCCGGAGAGCTCTTGGCCCCGACATCTGCACGGAGGGCTCCTCCTTCAAGTCCTTTCTCAAATGTCACCTTCTCAGTGAGAGTGTTTGGGGCGGCCCTGCGTGAAACTGCAGCCTGTTTTCACCCCCGTGCCCTCCTCACACTATATTTTCTCCAGAGTGAAATCATCTTCGAATGTACCCTACACCTCATGTCCTTTATTTTCTGTCACCTGCTGCTGAGATGCAAAGGTGACAAGTGTAGGGATGGGTGGCTGTCTTGTCATCATGGTATCAGCCATGCCCACAGTGGATGAGTCCCCTGCCATGTGCTCATGGTCACCCAGTGGGGCAACAGTGGCACCTGGGAGGGGCTCCTGCTCTACCCTCCCCTTCTCTCCTCCCAGAGGCCTCTTCTCCGACCTCCAGCCACGGAGGTGCTTTGCTTATTGCTTATTGGTGAAGTGGCCTTTTCTGACCTCTCACCTCTCATGCTCCCCAGGACCCTGCACCTGCTTTTCCTTCTCCAGGTCCAGTCTAGCCAGTCACTGCTAGTGCAGCAAGCAGGGCTAGAAGTCTAGCAGAAATCACGCCATCTACCCAACACAGTGTCCCTGCTGAGTACGGTGCTGCTTTGGGGCCCTCTCCTGGCCAGGCTCCTGGCTATGGCTGGCCCTTCACTTTTCTTTGGCCAGCACCTCTCTCACCACCCTTGGGGACTCTCCAAACCATCACCGTCCTTCTTAATTAACCTCTAGTGCAATAAGAGCTCACCTGACCCAGGTGTAAAGCTCTTGTGAATGTGGAGGTGAGGGCCCCGGCGCCCCACAAGGAAGGACCGTGGCCGAGCTGTCGCACGACGGTGATAGAGCTGGGCCCTCAGCTGCAGACAGCTGCCTCATCTGAGGTCATGCGTTCCAGGGACCCCAACCTGCTGCCCAGGACAGGGAGGGGGACCGCCTAGCCACCATGGGCTGCATTTGCTCCCAGGCTCTGTCAGGCCTGAATGACAGTGTGACTCCTTACTCTGCCCAATCTGCCCCTCCCCCCTTTCCCAGGTGCCATCCCAATAAACACCAGTAGTTTACCCCCTGCCTCGGACTTGGCTTCCAGAGAATGCAGCTGGTAGCTTTCAAGTGCACCAATCCCGAATTTCACATCCCCTCCCAATCAGACCCCCCATATCTATCCCTCTCTACTCCTCCAGACTAGAAGGGGAAAGGGCACCTCTTTCTCAAAACAGGGCTCATTCTTCATGCATCACACCCTGTCCCCACTCAGCCCCTAGTAGGCCCAACTTATCACCCACTCACTCTCTTCATGATCTGCCGCTCTGCGGCATGTTCACTTCAAACCAAGGAAAGATTCAAGTTTTCCCTTTAAATATTCAGCAAAAATCCGGCCTTGAGCATAGAGTTAGTACCTTCTCTTCCTTTCTCCTTTCCTCTAATTGTCTCTGAGGAAAAGCTTTCAGCCATCACCACCACTTGAAAATAGCAACTGGAGATAGGGATTCCAGAAGGGAAATACCAAAATTGGGGGTTTCATGCCTTATAAAAAAGTTCCTGCAGTCATGGCCTGGATGGAAGCTCTAGTTCCATGTTAACTAGCTGGCTCTGTGCTCCTGGATAAATCGGTTACTCCCACCGCCAAGTCC